TCTGAGGCCTGAAGGAAAAACTGAAACAAGGATCCAGAAGAAAAAAAATCCACATGATACTGAGTAAAGGCTTTAAACAATTTATGTAGCTCATCAATATTCAAGTGTGTATGATGTGCACATTTACATTTTGATGCATAATGAGCCAGCCTCATGGCCATATTTACCATTGTAAATAAAACTGTGGGCATGTATAATAGCTAAGAAAGTGTTGCGTTTTGCTTTGATTAATTAAAAATTAAAAAAAAGAAATTTTTCCATTTTGTTGAATAATTTTGTGGACATGTTAATAAAATGCAAAATAAAACTTATTGGCTTATAGAAAACTTATTGAAAAAACAAAGGAAACATTAAAAGTACAGTATTTTATTCTATACATAGATCAAGGTGGGCATCAACTTTCAGAACAACTTTTTTAAAGTCATTTTGAATCTGAATTAACATTTAAGCAGCATATAAATTATTTTATTTCTTTACAAACAACGTTTGAATCCTAATTTGAAGATGGGCCTGCCATGTAAAATAGTTTTTAATGGGTTAAAGATGTGTGAAAATATTTCAGAACAAAGTTTTGTTTGGTTACATCTTCAAGTCCCTCTGGTTCATGTGTTATCAGTTTCACCTTCACTGTCTTCTTCACCTTTTTTATTTGTTTTTTGTTTGTTTGTTTGTTTGTTTGTTTGGAGAGGAAAATAAATCCTTTATTTTTGTTTGGTACCACTTTACAATAAGGCTCCCCTTATAGTTTATAGATATGTTATTATTTCCTCTATAAACACTTTATACATCATTAATAACTGTTTATTTAGGGGCGGCTGTGGCTGAGTGGTTAGAGCAGTCGTCCTCCAATGCAAGAGTTGGGAGTTCGAATCCACCAGCAGTCACATGCTGAAGTGTCCCTGGGCAAGACACTGAACCCCTCACAGCCTCTGATGTGTGTCCCATCAGTGTATGAATGTGATAAAGCTCTGATTTGTCTCTTTAGAATGATTTGTTCAATTATCTTTGTAGAGATCTAGTATAGAGCTGTATGAATGGGTAAATGAGGACACAGATTGTAGTGTAAAGAGCTTTGAGTATCTTGAAATAAGATAGAAAGGCACTATATAAGTACAGTCCATTTACCATTTATTATGCATTAATTATTGTTTATTATGCATTAATTACGGGTTCAGAGACCAAACTGACCAGTTTCTTGCCAAATAGTGAGCCAAATCTGCCACCATCTAAAATGATGCCGTAGTTGTAGATACTTACATAGCAGTGATAAAGTACCATATTATATCCTAAAAATATAGGTTTACGACTGCTTAAGGTGCTTACTTATTGGCTAAGATAGTTACTTAAGATAGTAACTTAGTCTGAAATGTTTAATATAACATCTCTATGTGAAATGTGAACACATTTGACTCACTATTTTGCAAGAAACTGGTCGGTTTGGTCTCTGTCACCCTTAATTAATGCATATTAAGCAGTTATTAATGATTTATAAAGTGTTTATAGAGGAATTAATAACATATCTATAAACTATTTATTAGTCGTCTATAAGGGGAGCCTTATTGTAAAGTGGTAGCGAAGGTTCTGTCAAATATTAACACATGACACATTAAAAACTTCAGCAGTGTTTCATCAGAGCAAGGTTATGCCCATGTTCCCTAAACGCATCACTAGTTTAGGTCACACAATGTTCATATTTATTTCAGTAGTAATACAGTAAATTGTTGTATATTCAAAATTTGCTCAGTCCTTCCAGCCTCTAAAGTCACATCAAAATAACTCTGAAAAAGTTCTAGAAAAGGTTACATTTTAAACGAGACATGTTTATGTATTTCCCATCGGACTTACTCTGCTGTTCATGTAATCTTGTCTGCATGTTTCATCAAGTCTATGAAGTTACAGCACTTTTTACATCAGTGAGTAATCAGTAACTAGAATTCTGTTGATTATATATCCACATACAGCACAAAAATGTTTTAAACCAAAGGATCTGTGTTTATTGTTCAATATGTTTTTAGACTGAAGTATATTTTTACCTTTAAAAAAAAAAAACTGGTTTAGTGTGGATGCTGTTTTAAGGCACACAGTTTCCCAAAAGGGCCACTTTTCAAAATAATTTTGAAGTGTTTCTCGTATAAAGTGTGATCTGTGTTAACCTCTACAGGTGTATCAGAAATAATTGACTAAAAACAAACAAAAGAAATTAATAATGAGGGGAAACTATAACTTTAAGCTGGATAAAATTGATTTATTAACCTATTGTTGCCTCATGTTCATTGTTTGAGTGATAACTTTTTAAGCTTTACTTCCAC